CCTTTCTTCTATAAGCGGTTTTAAACGTTTAAGAAGAAGCTTTTCAAAGAGTTTCGACATACTTGGGAGAAGCGATATCGGTCTGTATGAGGTAACTCGTTCTGGTGGCTTACCGGGTTTCAGTAGCATAATCACTTGTGCCTTTTTCCATTGCTTAGGAAAACTTTCTAGTCGTAGGATTTCGTTGTATATGTGTGTTAAAAGGTTTATCGCTTTCTTCGGTAACTCTTTAAGTATTCGCGGGCTGATTTTGTCGAAACCAGGTGCCTTTTTTGTGTTGATGTTSTTATCAATTTCATTTAGTTTTTTTAGTTTCATTAGTTGCATTTTGCCTGCTAAACGAACAACACGTACGTTCCCCTCGCGTGTGTCGAATTGTTTATTTAATTAAATTAAATATATCTATACGATGTTTTTGCTTACAACGCAAAAGTGTCAAGTGTTCTAACACAAATTATTTAAGTCATCGCGCGTGATGGCTTAGACCGCCGCCCAGCAATGGGCTCTACGGACAATGCTCAAACGGTGCCAGCTCAAATTTTAGCTGACCAAGCAATTCTGGTTCGCATACAAACTGAAAATGAAACATTAAATAAACTTGTAATCGAATTACAAGCGAGTAATGCACAATTGCAGAGTCAATTACTGGACCTTCAAGTGAGTAATATTAATTTTAATAATACTACTATAAATGAAAACTTAATCAATACAAAATATGTACATGAAAAAACGGGTCACAGCTCAGAAGCTAGTTAAAACCTACGTAATAAACGAATCAACGAAATAGATAATAATATCATCAAAACAGTGCCTAAAAGATATAAACCACCACCAATAACAGCATGTGGTGTAAATTACATACAACACTTAGTTACCAATTTAACTCGTGAAGAAGCCCCAGAGCATGAACAGCAACTGAAAACTTTCGCTAACGGTGACATAAAAATCCTGACAGAGGATGAACACCAGTTTAGACGAACATTAAAATTTCTTGAAAAAAACAACATTGAGTTTCATAGATATCAATTAAAAGCCGAAAATAAATCCCGTGTTGTAATACGTGGATTGCACCCAGAAACTGAAATATGTGAAACTAAAAGAGAACTAGCTGACAAAGGTTTTTCTGCATGTGATGTTTCAAACATTCAAATCATAAAAAAAAGCTAAACCTAAATGACAAAAACAGCGAAAAGAAACGAATTAGATTACCTCTATTTTTTGTGGACTTGGTTCCACAAGATAATAACAAAGATATTTACAAGTTAGATAGTCTATGTTATCATAAAATTAAAACATAACCACCAAGAAAGAAAAAAGATGTACCACAGTGTAAAAACTGTCAGTCTTTTGGACATACACAAAATTACTGCCACAAAAAATCTTTGTGTGTAAAATGCGGCGAAGAGCATAAAACAGAAGACTGCAATAAGCCGAAAAAATCAAAAGCTAAATGTGCCAATTGCGGTAAAGCACGTACCGCAAACTGGAAGGGTCTGCCTAGTGCCTACAAACAAGCAGAAGAAAAAGCACACCCAAGAAAGGTTTCTGCAGTACAACGCATTCAACGAAAACCAGCGAAAACTGTCACAACAGCTATATCTTATGCACAGATGACTAGCTCTCCCAGTATTAATTTAACGCCCCAAAGTCTAAACAACAATAACAGACTAATATAAACGACCCAACGTTAATAGAAGTATTATCTGTTTTAAATAATATAACAAAATCGTTAGAAAGCGTCACATCTAGACTAGATAGATTAGAAAGTAATCAATMTAAGTCTAACAACAAAAATAAAAATAAAAATAAATGAATCGCACACTGCGAATCATAGCATGGAACGCCAATGGGCTAGTACAACGCAAACAAGAACTTTATGATTTCTTGCACAATGAAAGCGATATTGAATGAAATTGATATTGCTCTTATATCAGAAATACATTTTACAGCCTGGACTTTCTTAAAAATTAGAAATTATAGTATCTATACCACTCTCCATCCTTGGTAAAGCTCGAGGAGGTATGGCGATAATCATAAAAGAATATATTAAACTTTTTGAGCTTGAGAAACACTAAGAACTATACTTACAAGCCACAACCTTAAGCATCAATGACCTAACAGTTACGGCTATTTATTGCCCACCACAGGGAAGCGCAGACAAAATTAAGTTTATTGATTTTTTCAAAAGCTAGGACGCAGATTCATTGTCGGTGGAGACTACAACGCAAAACACACCTACTGGGGATCAAGACTTATCACTCAGAAATGACTGCTCTATTTAAAGCAGTCAATACTATCAACGCTGAAGTCAGTTCTATGAGTAAACCAACTTACTGGCCAACTGATTCGAATAAATCCCTGATTTATTAGACTTTTTCGTAGTTAAAAATATTTCCTCTAACTATGTTGAAGCTGAAGGACTAATAGAACTATCTTCTGATCATATTCCCGWGTTACTTTCACTAAGCTCAAATGTCATAACGAAAGAAAGAAAAATCTTTCTTACAAACAAAAGRACTGATTGGGATYTCTTTAGGAGTGCTCTCGAAGAAACCATCACTCTTTCAGTTAAGCTAAAAACATCATCAGATATTGATGCGGTAGTGCAAAAATTAACTAATGACGTTTCTGAGGCAGCGAAAGTGGCCACACCCATAATTCATGAAGGAATTAATCGGGACACCACTTACCCAATTGAAATAAGAGAACTTATTCAACAAAAGCGTAAGGCGAGAAGAACCTGGCATAGAAAGCGACATCCAGCGGATAAAACCAAATGGAATCGTATTAGTAAAATTGTACGTGAGAAAATTAACGAAATGAAAAACAAAACATTCAAATCTTATCTGAGGGGCTTAACCGCAACGGACGATACAGATAACTCTCTGTGGAAAGCCTTGTAGCATTAAAATACCTCGTGAACATGTTCCACCTATCCGTAAGGTAGACGGTACTTAGGCACGCAGTGAGAAAGATAAAGCCGAAGTATACGCTCAACATCTTGAGTATATTTCAACCAAATAATATCGCTTCTGAACTTGATATGATATAATGTCAACCGCTCAACGGAACAAGAGAAAAAATACGGTTTTTACTCCTCTAGAAGTTGTTTAACAATTAAGCACATTAAACTACTCCGGGAGAATATTAATTTTATATCTGGATTATCGAAATAGTCCAAAAAAACTACTGTACGTGTCAAGATATCGTTTTGACTAAATTAGATGGGTAGTTTTATTTAATTAATTGATTTCACTGTATCGTAATATATAATATGATAAATCAGTTAATAAAATTAGAATATACATTATAGCAATTTGAGTGACTATTTTTCTTAAAATCTAGGATTTTTATAATTATGAATAGCAAATATGCATATTATCTATTTATGAAAAATGGATATACTTAAAGAGTTGTGAGTTAATTGAACATTGTTATTTTACAGTCGTTAAAGGTACGTATTATCAATATATTTTTTGTTACATACTACAAGAACAACCTAAGTTGTTTTCTGTGATACGTATCATTTAAAATGTGAAATTCTGATAAGAACTAGTATAGTATGATAATCTGTTTGGAAACACTAAAATAATTCTATTTTTCACATTTAGGGCAATTTGTCGTTAAATATTAGGTACACCTTGTTAGTTTAATTGATGATAAAATTAAAATTACCTTAAACAATTATTTAAAGTAGGTACTTGAGATAAATTAACAAAAAACAAAGTAGGACATGATTATTTGGTGTTCAAAGGTTTAGAAAAATAGTAAACATATTTTTCCATATTTTATWCACTTTTAATGCATCARTATGTTATAGAAAACATATATATGTATTATAAATCTTTAATTCAGAAGACGTGATGAGTGTATGATATGGATGTATATCGTGATTGCTTTTAGCTAGTAAGTCTGTGATAGCAGAGGCGTATTTAGGCACAGGCCCTATAGGCCCGGGCCTAGAGCGGCAACATTGGAGGRYGGCAAATTTCAACAATTTTTTTTTACAAAATTAGAAAAAGTATTTTTCATTTGATGAAATCAAACTCAACTAAGTTTTGTTCGCTCAAAATTAACCATATTAGTATATCTACATATAKMTMWATGTATCTTTTTTAATATAATATTATAATATAATAAATTGTACATTTAAATACGTTTTAGAAATAATTGTAGGAAGGATGGAGGTGGGAGGGAGGCGACGAATTGGAAAGTGCCTAGAGGCGGAAAAACCTTAAATACGCCACTGTGTGATATGTACAACTTGAGCTTAATATAAAAATCGATGAAGAATCTGAATAATTAGCCTATTCACTATTGTATCAATTTTATTGACATAATGAATATTATATTCTGCAATTACTTGAACTGTTTATAAAGTTATTCAGATTCCTGTTTTTTTTTTTTTTTTTTTTCATTAATGTTTAATTTCTTTGAGATCTATTATAATTCGCTCAAATGACAAATTTAAAATTAATCAGAATAATATATAGCAAAGTTTCCCAACCTTTTTACCATCACGGACCACTTCGACAATATTGTATAGATCGCGGACCACCACTTCAATTTTAAGAAAATTAGGAAGATCTTTTTTTCCTCATTAACAAGAATACACAAAATTTGTATTTTTATTATTTTATTAATATACTATTATTATTATTTATTATTACTATTAATATACTATAACTATATTAAATAATGTACTTGGTGTAATTTTTTTGACTGCATTTCTTTGACCAGTTATTCAACTCTCGGATGAATGTTGCTCATAGCTAAACACATGTCATCATTTACGTCCAAGCGATTCCTCTGTTTATTTTTAATTACAAATTAGACTAGAAAATGCTTGTTCACACAAGTATCTAGATGAAAATACTAGTAAATAAAGTGTGACGATTTCCCGGAGTTGAATATGTAATGTTGCACTTCTGCACCAAAATCGCTCAAGGTTCATACCAGAATCAAACTTATTTTCGGAGTCAGAGTCGTTTTGCATTTCAATGACAGCATCTTGGAGATATTCTGGGTCTTTTTTGACTGCTGGTCATGGTGGTTCGAGGACCATTGGTTTGGAAACACTGATATACAGTAATTGTAATTCATTTAGGTTCATGATTAAACCAAACACTACATTAATCAATTGCTGACTAATTTAGGACCCTGCAAACTAATTTTTAAAAWTCATAAATTTAAAGTTCACTTAAATTGTATACCTTCTCGATAAGCAAAAAAATAAATGACGACGGTCGATCCCAATTTCTTATTTTCTTCATGTCATRAATGCATAACAAAATTACATTCTGTAAAAAAAAAAATATTTAATTCTGTTTAACAATTAAGCACATTTAACTACTCCGGGAGAATATTAATTTTATATCTGTATTATCGAACTAGTCCAAAATAACTACTTTACGTATCAAGATATCGTTTTGAATAATTTAGATAGGTAGTTTTATTTAATTAATTGAATTTACTGTATCGTAATATAGAATATGATAAATTAGTTATTAAAATTAGAACACACTTTATAGCAATTTGAATGACTAGTTTTCTTAAAATCTAGGATTATTGCAATTTAATAGCAAATATGCATATTAACTATTTAGGGAAAATGTATATTATATAAGTACTTAAAGAGTTGTAAGTTAAATAAAGATTATTGTTTTCAGTAATTCTTGGTACGTATTATCAATATATTTGTTGTTACATACTACAAGTCTTCTCTGAAACGTATCTTTTAAAATATGAGATTCTGATAAGAACTAGGATAGTATGATAATCTGTTTGGAAACACTAAAAAAATATATTCTATTTTTCACATTTAGGGTGATTAGTTATTAAAAAATTGCACTTAGTTAGTTTAGTTGATGATAAAATTTAAAATACCTTTAACAATTATTCAAAGTAGGTACTTGAGATAAATTAACAAAAAACAAAGTAAGACAGGATTATTTTGGTGTTCAAAGATTAAGAAAAATGGTAAACATATTTTTCCATATTTTATTCACTTTTAATGCAATAATATGTTATAGAATACATATATATATATATATATATATCTACTTTGTTACTTTTGGCTCCTGTGAAGCTGCTTCTGCTGTTCTAACGTCCTATCGTCAAGCTAAAATCCAAAATTTGTCTCTTCTACCACTTACTAGCATTGTACGTGACAAAACTTTACTTGAACGTCAACAACTTCATACCAGTCACCTTGAGTTAGATCGTCGAGTTGCTGCAGGTGAAAATAACCTAACCATCACGTTAAAAAACGGTTCTCCGTTCTATTGACTCGGGTATTTTTCCGTCTGCACTTAAACTTGGCTCTATTAGACCCATACTTAAGTCTGGTGATTCAACTGATGTTTCAAACTATCGTCCCATAACTATCCTCCCTCATTTATCCAAAATATTTGAAACGCTTGTTCTTAATTCGATTCGTTCTCCCTTGAATCATATCCCAATTGATGAGCAGCATGGCTTCCGCTCTGGTAGATCAACTATTACTTGTAACCTTAGTCTACATTCATATATAAATATGATTCTTTTCGCGATAACTGCCAAGTAGATGTAATCTRCACAGATTTCTTCAAGGCTTTCGATCGTGTTGATCATAATCATCTTATGTCGACTTTAGACTCTATAGGAATCGGCGAACCACTACTTTCCTGGTTTTGCTAATACATTACAAATAGGATCCAATGGGTAACTGTTGATTCCACCTCTTCGGACCACTTTACCCCCTCCTCAGGCGTACCAAAAGATGCTATTCTTTCTCCACTTCTGTTTGCCCTATTCGTAAACTCAGCCGACTCCGTCCTCCAGCATGCCAAATTTCTTATCTTTGTGGTTGATATGAAAATCTTTTTCCGTATAAAATCCATCTCTGGCTGTCACCTTCTTCAAAACGACCTTCAGCGATTAGTTGCGTGGGGTTAATTTTTGGGGCTAACTCTTAATATAGCTAAATGTTCAGTAATGACTTTTTGTCGTATAAATGCTGTAATCGAGCATATTTACTCCGTAAACAATACCACCTTAACAACCTGTAATAATTATGTAAAAGATTTAGGATTTACTCTCACACGGAACCTGTGCCCTAATATGMATATTCAGATAATATGTTGTAAAGCTCTTAAACTGCTAGGTTTCATAAACCGTGTCTCTTCAGACTTCCACTTGCTCAACCCTCTAAAAACTCTTTTCTGCTCCCTAGTCCGTCCCATCCTTTAGTATGGTTCCGTTCTCTGGGACCCGTCCACCGCTTCCACACGTAGCATGATAGAAAGGGTTCAAAGAAAATTCCTCCGTCAAGCTGCTTACAAACTAAAGATAGTCTGTCCACCTCACGATTACACGCCAATCCAACACCTCTTTTCCTTAGAAAGCCTCGCCGATCGTCGTTATTCAGCTAACTTGACATTTCTATTCAATCTTCTTTCATCTAAAATTGACAGTCCTGAATCACTATCCCGTGTCTCATTGAATGTCCCCTCCCGCCGTACACGATCATCTGTTCCATTTCATATACCTTTCTCTTCCTCAAAATACTATCTTAACTCACCGATCATCCGTCTAATGTGCATTGCCAACACTGAGCCTTCATTCTCTCTCCAAAATTGAGCCTCTTTTCCATAAACAAAACTATTATTATTATACTAATATAATCATGTATTAAAGGGTCCGTCCCGTATTGTAAAATAAAATAAAAATAAATAAATAATGTACTTGGTGTGATTTTTGTGACTGCATTTCATTGACCAGTTCTTCAACTCTCGGATGAATGTTGCTCATAGCTAAACGCATGTCCTAATTTACGTCCAAGCGATTCCTCTGTTTATTTTTATTACAAGTAGACTAGAAAATCTTTGCTCACACAAGTATCTAGTTGAAAATACTATTAAATAATGTAAGACGATCTCCCTGAGTTGAATATGTAATGTTGCACTTCTGCAATAAAATTCGTCAAGGTTCAAAATGTGTTAGATGCCTTGCATTAAATTTTCAAGCTTTTCTACCCTACAAATAAATTTTTATCGGTATTTCTAGCAAAAAAAACTTAAAAAATTGAAAAATTAAAATGTCAGTTAACAGCTTAAAGCATATTATTAATATTACTATTGTATTTTTATTTTTATTTTCAAAAAGACGKTAAGAAATATTATTTGTTTCAGTTTGTCATTTCATTGATATTTTTAATACATTTTTTTAACGTTACCTAATAATTGTACGTAAAGGATATATTTCTTTATCAAATTTGTTTAGTTGGTCTATTGGGAATTATAAAATAAACTTTTTGTAAC